CGTCGTTACTAATGCAATGCCTTTTTCTGCCATTGGTCGAATTGAATTTTCACGTTGTTTCCATTTTGTTCGCGGTGTTGACTAGGAAAGTTTGTTGAAGATTTGAAAATGGGAAATAAATTGACGCCAAATCCAATCCATTACATCAATTGCGCGTGCGCGAACTGGACAATGTTTAGTAGGGTGGCAAATGACTGAACATTTCTCTACAACATCTATGAACAAAAAAAATTTAATCCTGTTCACTGAACATTTTTGGCTGCCTTCAAAATCGACTGAACAACATTCAACATCGCTGAACAAGACTGGACAAGGTGGCAAAACGACGCAACATTTACGCTGGCAAGATTTTAACCTGCCCCGATGTCTTTTTACTTAGCTTTTGCTTGAAGCTGGTCATGTTTTCCCTAAGCACAAGCTATTGCCAAATGTTATAAATTTAAAAGTCCAAAAATTAGAGTTCACTAAGCGATTTGCTCTGTGATGTGAAGCAATGAAGAGGACATACGTAGAACAAGGGAAGAGCAAGAAGACTTCAAACAAAGGTGGTGCACAGAAATTTCGCGAGGAAAAGCTGCGAGACTTAAAAAAGGATTCAGCTACGATACAAAGCTTTTTTATCAAGGAAAAGCCACAAACGTCACAAAAGACAGCAGGGTCTTGCTCTTGCTCTTTTCAATAAACTCATACAAGTTATGGTAAATTTATTAGGCATATACTATCATAAGTCAGATGGACCCCCCGCCCAACAGAGGTATGGTGCTACACGATATCATTTCAACAGGGGTGCCCATGTTTTCTTTTTGGGGTCAGAAATTGACAAATCGATATTTTTGGGCTGCTGAAAATCATTGTGGTTTTCCGGAGGATTAGAAAATTATTTGTCACAAGTTGAGTGTGATAGAAGCTTATCCACTTTAAATATATAATGAACATATTACGTGGTAATTTTTCGCAGCCAAACCTGGAGTCCTTCATGTTAATGTTCTTAAAAAAACACCTTTCAGATGACATCTAGAACGATCACATTATTAACACATAAGTTACTGTATTTAGAAAGAAAGTCAAACCAATGAGTTATAATTTTTGTTCATTTACCATTTAGTCAGCAAATGACATATTTAACATGTTCTGTTAACCAGCATTCATCCATGCACACAATTACTGAATTCAAAAACTTGTTTCCCTTACAGACTAACATTTACTTGCATTTTCCGAGGAGTTTTTTAATTGCTGTTTTTGTGGGCCGGTTTGATCAAAATTTGCCCGGGCCAAAAAAATTAGCCAGTCCGCCCCTGCCTACACGGACGCAATTTTGATCGTTCATATACATGCTCTCTATAACTTTAAAATTTTTTGCTTCTAATTCCAAATCTATGCAATTTTTTCAGCATAATGTTTCGTGATACTTTATCGTAAGCCTTTTCAAAATCAAAAGGCTGAAAATTAATCTATAATCTTTTCAAAATCTAGACATCTAGCGCCTTCAGCGCTTCTATATCATTGTCTCAATCACATGACTGCTGCATCTATCACATGTGTGTTGCCTCCATCGCATGAGTGCTGCTTCCATTACATAAGTTGTGCCTCCATTACATTATAGTCTCATGTACTTCTAGAATCACCTGGAATGAAATGTGATTTGTATCAGCTATCAGACACAGCAAAAAGATTACAAACTTAAATATAAGATCAAAATGGAAATATTAATCTATAAGTCAAATCTCCATAGCACTTTGAAAGCAAGATCTGGGCGAGATAAAAGTGGTTTTCAAACTAAGCTCGAAGGAGAGGGTGAGAAATACCAAGTTCCATGTAATGCTTGGTTTGGTTACAAAAAAAATCAACTAAATTTTTTTCAAATATCTTGTGAACAGCAGGTACTAAGAATGATTTAACTTTAAAAATCATATAAAACTAAAAAAGGAGAAATTAAATGACGATAGATGCAATATTGGCTGTTTGACTATAAATGCCATTGAGTGGGACTATGCAGAAGAATTGATGCCAAGACAAGGTCAAATATCAGGGATACTAATTAGGAATCCTCTCCAGCCCTCCCTTCTCTCCGTTTGTCTCAAAATAGGTCAAACTGATATTTAAATAAATAATTTCGGATAATAAACCTTTTTGACCAATTTTAAAGAATTTCGAGGAAAAATCTTCTTTAAAAAACAATATTTGTGTGGTATCAAATATTAGTGGACTATAAAAGTATACCAAAAAGTCAGGAAAAGAAAGAATCAAGATCATCAAGAAAAGATTGGATAAATTCAGGACCAGAGAAATTTAATTCCGGAACTTTTTTCCTCTGAAAGTACTTAATCTTTAAAATGTACTTGCATTAACCTGCCTACCCTCATCCACGAAATCTTTGAATGGTTCTTCTCCGGAATGTTGGAATGGTTCGTCTCCGGATTGTTGGGATGGTTCGTCTCCGGAATGTTGGAATGATTCGTCTCCGGAATGCTGGAATGGTTCGTCTCCGGAATGTTGGGATGGTTCGTCTCCGGAATGTTGGGATGGTTCGTCTTCGAAATGTTGGAATGGTTCGCCTCCGGAATGTTGGGATGGTTCGTCTTCGGAATGTTGGAATGGTTCGTCTTCGGAATGTTGGAATGGCTCGTCTCCGGAATGTTGAAACGGATCGTCTTATGGTTACCAGTTTTACTGGATCTGCTTCAGCTTCAGGTACCGCCAGGGCCAAAATAGCAGACACCAAAAAGAGACCGGTCAATACAACTGTGTACTTAATTGCTGCAATACGAGTTAGAAAGTGACTGAAAAAATATTTCCTCGAGCTCTTCGGGTCATTGCTATTTTCATCAGAAGTTCAATTTTGAATTTTATTTGCTGATTTACGACGATGTTTATTCAAAATGACTATGGATTAGCAAAATTTTTCGAAATTATTCAAAAAATTGCTTTCAATAAACCAATCACCTAAATACTTTCCCTAAGACTATCTAATACATATTTTCAAAAAACTTTTATTTTGATATTTTCTCTTTGATATTTTCAATGACAAAATTAACAATTGCGTCTTCAAGCAAGCTTTGAAAAAGCGCTGGTGTTCATTGCGATCCAAAAGTTAAGAACAATTTGAGAATAACTCCAGGGATCGTGGAAACTGAGGGGGCTTCAGCACAAAATAGTTCCAAAATGTACTTAAAACCACGCAAAATATTGCCTTACTTAGTTTCTAGCATGTTTAGCCCCCCTCAAAAAAAAGTTTTAGCCCCCTCAATCTGTAATGTGCTCCGCGGTCTTTGAACAGCTTCTAGATATGTTAAATGTGCAATGATAAATTAAAATACTGTAAGATTTGTTATAATGACGTCTTCATGCTCTTGTATGTCTTTTAGAAAAAAGTGGACTATTGACTTTCTTTAAAAAATATTAAAATATTCAGCAATTCACAAAATTAAAGTACCATTTAAATTTTTTAAACTTTTCACAAATCAAAGAATTATCAAATAATAGAAATGAAATTATAAAGTTAATGATTCAAATTTTGCCAATAGGATATGTATATTTTGAAAAATAGGGTTCCAACGTATACGTGGATAAAACGACTTACTGTCTTCCAATACGTGCATGGAAATGACTTCCAAAGAAACTTTCTTGTTGCTTATGCCACCGAATATTGGGTAGAACTGAGCGAAGTGCTGTTTAGAAGCAAATTCGAGCTTTTAAAGTTTTCGAAATAGGAACTACAGTAGATCACTGACGTCAAAGCGGTCAAAGGTACGTGTTGGAAGCAACTTGTGGTTCTTTGCTAGCCACTAAGCTCTGGAGGGGGAGGGGCAGACAAAACAAAAACTTTTAGGTCACGCTATTTTCACTATCAGAAAAGGCCCGTTTACCAACAAGGAACGCCAGCTTTGCCAATAAGGAAAGCCCAAGACCAACTTTTGGTTACGTACTAAGGATCGTTTCAAAATCATAGGATTACATCACAAAAATACATTGCCAAAATAATACCCCTCCCCTAACCTTTTCTTGTCGAATTTAGACGAAACACAAATTCGATGAGGGACGTGTCCCCTCAGACCCTCAGTTAGTATTCTTTGATTATACAGGTGCTGAATAATGATATTCCTAGATGTAATCAAAAGCTAGATATATTTGAATGCGAATTTGAACATAAAGTGCAAATGTATCTTTGATCAAATCAGGGTTGTCAGATTTGGCCTTTTTCAGGCCAAATTTCAAATTTTTGCCTTTTTAATACTTAAATTGCCTGGAAAATTAGTTCTTGGCCTACTACTTACTTTGGCCTTATTTTGCCTTTTTAGCAGAAATTCTGAATTAAAAGAGTAATAACTACATTAATAATGTAATTAGTAGTTTACTACGCCCATATGTCAAATTTTATCACCTATAGGTCACACACAAAAAGATTCTAACTGTCAGATAAGGATTGTTTTAAAGATGAAGTAAGTTTCTTATGTGAGTTAGGAGATTATTTAAAAGACACATGCATAGTAATATAAACAGCGCATGCGTAATGTATTTTTAGGAGATATTTTTTGATTTGGCCTTTTATGAGCATTTTGGCCTGAGTTGCCTAACCGTCTGGCTTTCTTTTGTTAAACATATCTGGCAACCCTGGATCTAACGGTAGTGATTTTTTACTTTTAATGAAGAATAAAACAATAACTTCTCATAAGAAAAATTTACATCATCTTGCGATAGAAATTTATAAAGCATTTAACGGTTGGAATCCACCTTTTATGGCTGAAATTTATGGCTTTTATTACTTAAGAAACGCCCAATTCAAAACAGCGGAGCCACATTACAAAATATTTGGATTTAATACTCTATCATGTGTATGTAGCCAAATATGGAACTCAGTTCCAAGCAAAATAAAATACTCCCCAACTTTACAGATATTCAAAAAAAAATCTAAGAATTTACATCGTTCAATTGTACTTGTGATCTTTGCAAGGAATACATATGCAACATCGGTTATACTTAGTTTACATTATATTTAGAGTTGATTATTCAAATTAATTGGTTTTAGTTAGCTTGAATATAGCTAGAGATTGTACCATATTTAAATAAAGAAGGAAGAAAAAATCATGTATTGGGCGGCCTATGACATTTTGGGTCTGCTCTTTGCGAAAGGTCTTGTTTAGTTCCCTATTTGATCCCGAGCGCTACCAACATGATTGGGTCTTGGGATAGTAGAATGGAAGTTTTCCAGATCACAAGATGAAAGAAATAATGAAAGGTTCCTGTTCATTTTTGTCCTGTTTGCGGGTAGGATAAATAGCTTCCTATTAATCGTTATAGTTCCTCTTTAGAGATTTAAATATCTCATGGTAAAATCAGCATGTTTAAGAAGAAAACAATATGAATTGACTGGAAGGGAAGGGTGAGATTACCCAATGACCAATAAAAAATGTAGTTTGTCAGATATATGATATGCTTCGCTGTAGAATGATTGTGCGACATGCAGTATGTTCTTCAAAGAACGCTAAAAAGGTGACTGCATAGCATTGAGAAATATGCGAAGAAAAGGGCGCGTCATTTGAAAATTTCGGAGGAAGGATAGCATTTGTCGAGTTTTACGGAGAACGCGTTTTTGTGATGACACTGAAACTGCTTTTACGTAGCCAAAAGTAAGTCATGGGATTTCTCATTGGTGAAGTTTGCGTTTCCTGTTGTCAAAAGACATGTTCCTACTGTAAAAACAGTGGCCTAAATTTTCTTCCCCCTTGCCTAGTGACTGACGCCGGCTTTGTCTTTTAATGTTGAAAGTAACCCCCCCTGTCTCGGGGTCAAAGAGATGCACAATAGTCTTTATGTTCTATACGTATGCTCCTTGGCTTCAAGACAGTGTTGCATTACTTCATTCATTAAAAAACATTCTTTTGTTCGTCTCGCAAACAAGCTTTTTATTTTATTTCTTTTTGCAAAAATTAATCAACGTTGTCATATACGATAATTACTAGGATATTAAATTAGGTATTACAGCAAATTCAAACAGCAAAATGTTTTGATATAATCATTTTCTTTGTGTTTTTGCGCGTGAATGGTAACCATGATTTTTTTTAAATTCGGCTAGGAACTTTAATGGTACACGTGTACGCTTACTTCAAAGAAGATGTAAATTGTGGCTTGCCTGAAACTGTCAAAGGTTTGTCGTTCATAGATGAACTTGCGCTAATAAAAGATCGGTCGTCATGAAGTAAAGCGAGAGCAAGTCATTGTCACGAGGGCTTAACAACGAAATTCCTTGCCTCTTTTTGTTTCGATTTTCTTTAAAGTTGCTTTTTACTTAATTGTTTGAAGATGATTTTCCAAAAAACGAAACTGCAAGGCATTGTCTGAAGTAAAATCGAAAATGAAGCCAAAAATCAATAATATGGTTGTATCGATTTTACACATTATAGAGTTATTTACTATTTGGTTATCTGAAAGTACAGCAATAAATTTCAAGTTTTTCTAATGGAAGAAATGTCTACTGGATTTCTCTTCATCTTCCTCCTATTTGCCGGTAAGATAAATTTCTTCTGACGATTGTGATATAATTGCGTAGATAAAAAATAGTTTTTTATTTGGCGTTAATATTTGTCATTTTATGTTCTCTTTAGCGCATTGTGGAATTCCTTGTTTTGTCTTCAAATCTACTTGCTGAAAGTATATATTCGTTTGTTGTCCGTCAAGCCGTTCTGCTGCCGTGGTCCTTCATTAAAGTTTCTTTACAATTTGTACAGCTTCTGTCATAGGCTGAAAAAATTCCTTATTCGAGGGGGGCTTATTCGAGCGTAGGGGCTTATTCGAGGATTTACGGTATGCAGTGGTGCCAAAGAAGAGGGAGCTCAGGGGTTGGCCCCCTTGCAAAGATCAGAAAAGATTTTGGGGGGCTCTGCCCCACTTTAAAAAGCCAGTATATGTTTTATACGGCAAATTTCTTACTTGTAAAAGTGAATAAACCTTTTCTTATGCTATTTATTCTCCGTCAATGAGCAACTTCCTATCAATATTTCTGTGTTGGTGATTTCATATTCCCAACAGAGAACCTCTGTTCCCTACAGCACAGCCCCTCTTCCTAACTTTTGAGAACGGTACTCCTGCATGTATTTTTATTGTAAATGGTACAGAATATTTTAGATAAAGTGCCATTTTAGGGACATTTTTTGCGATACAGAATTATAAAATGGCTTTGGGAAAAGTAGACATTTTACAACATACTAAAAGCTTTTTCGTCTGACACTCCTCAGAGCATGAAACGTCAGAATAAGGGTCCGAAAGAACACGATGAAAAATATATACCCGGTTGTGGATCGAAATAGGCCAATCAGAAAACGCAAACACACGTACGGTATGGTTGACCAATCAGTCCAAAAGAGAAAACGAACTCCTTCTGTCTACACAATGGCGGCTTTTTCGTTTGTATGTAGATCGACTCCAAAACTGCTAGAAGGAAGGACGATCGGGCTCTGCCAATTATCCGAAACATGTCGTCATTATAGAGTTTTGCACAATCTGGGTTGTCAAAAAGATGTTGACCGATGGGTTCTTTTTGCTTCAAAATATGAAATTTTAGGTATATATTTTCAGTCTAGTTTGGCATCCGTTTTGTGCCTGATTTTAACATCAACTATCAAATAGCCGCTGACTTGTATGTTCTACATACCGATCGTCGCATGGCACATACATTCATAAACGAAATATAGTTTTGGATTTGTATGTTCACCAAATTTTTGAACAAATTGCAGCGGAAAACCATAGCTTTTTCTAAGACAAAAACATTTTATATGACCTTTCCAATTTGGTTGGTTTAGACATTGGAGAAAAGTAGTTTTTCACAAGATGTTTTGTTTGTCAGTGAATCCGTCTATCGGTAGGTGGAACAGCACCTAAATTTTTCATCATCTGTGTCTTTGCTTGTAAATTCTTTTGATGGCCCTCCACCTAGTCTGGAAGGCCAAACTAGCAGCGAAAAATTTTTTTTGATGATTTTTTCAATATAAATTTGCGTTCATTATATTCGTATTCTTGTTTAAACTTGTCCTGCTAGTTTTATACTCGCTTCAAAGAGTTTTGTTGATATTTATACCAATCAAGTGTGTCTCTTTACTTTATTCAAGAACATGATAAAAATAACAACCGAAGTAAATTAAAAAACTTTACTAAATCCCCGCATAGTTAAAAAGTGAGCTATTCAGTATGTAATACACGAGTGCTGCCTCCATTACACGAGTGCTGCCTCCATTACACGAGTGCTGCCTCCATTACACGAGTATTGCTTCTTTTACATTAGTACTGTCTCTATCACATTCTAATATCATGTCCTTTTGGAATCACCTGGAATGAATTATGACTTACATTAGTTATCAGACAAAGCTAAAAGATTATCTTACCAGCCTAAATTTGGGTTCAAAAATGCTATTTAAAATTGAAAAGCAAATGTCCATGGTTCTTTGGAAATCATAGAAATGGTAGATGATTGATCTGTTGAGAACTACAAAATGCCATGAAATACCGGTTTACATGAAAATAAAGGAAATTGCTAGTAGCAGCTTCTAAAATGATTTAATTTTAAAAGGCATGTAAGGCTAAGAAAAGAAGACTTGTAGGTATAACGAAAAATCAGGAAACGCTACAAGCAAAAAACTAGAAGCAACACTAAAAGGGATAAAAGACTTAAGGAAAAAATCCGAGCATCAAAAACCAGAACTTTAGCAAAAATAATGGGTTTGTTGGACGGGGGGCTATTGCCCGTCAAAAGGAATAAGCACAAGTCAGTCTGAAAGTTTCATAGTTTGAAAGTATTTGTTAATATTGTACCTGCATTAACCTGCCCAAGTTCGTCTCCGAAAGGGCTCATAGCTTCGTCTCCGGAAGGGCTCATAGCTTCGTCTCCGAAAGGGCTCATAGCTTCGTCTCCGGAAGGGCTCATAGCTTCGTCTCCGGAAGGGGTCATAGCTTCGTCTCCGGAAGGGGTCATAGCTTCGTCTCCGGCTCCAAGGGTCTATTGCAGCATCAGTTTCAGATACCGCAAAAGCCATTACAACAAACATCAAAAGGAGGCCGACCAACATAACTGTGCACTTCATGGCTGCAATGGCTGCAGAGTAAGAAAACTTTTCAGGAATTTAAAAAAATAAATTAAATAAATTGTAAAAGCTCTTTAGATATTCATAATCGCCATCATCACTAGAGGTTCAATTGAGAAATCATTTGCTAGTTTTTGACAATATCCACACAGACTGTATATATAAGCAATTTGCTCAAAAATCATCCAAGAAATTGTTTCCTCAAAGTTAAGCCCCAGGTTACTTGACCAAAGATCAGAGACGCAAAGCCTCGAGATCCTGCAAACTTGGTTCAGATGGAGGTTGTCGCCGATAATTAAGAAGGATTTGTTGATTTTATTTTCTAAATTCTTGTTCTTTCAATCTATACTTTAATGCTGCGGTAAAACAGAAAATTGGCACAGGAAGGTCCCAAATTGCACAGCTGTTTTTTCGAAATTACAGGTTGAGGCCATAAAATGCAAGTTTGGAGGAGAGTCGACAGCTTTTTGCATTTTTTCCTTGGAGAATCTAAAAAAGTTTTCATGATTCTGAATTTTTTTATAAAATTTAATCTTTTGATATTTTTAACCTTCCACAAGTGTCTTGCATTGATTGAATTGAGATATCTATGACTGGCAAAAGTATCATTTAAATCTGCAAACAAACTTTGTATGAACACTGAGGCTCAGATTAACCCGAAAGTCAAGAAAAACCTAAAAAGACAACTCTTAATTTGAAAAGTGAACTCAAAAAGGATGTACTGAAACAAAGCGCTTACTGCTAAAACCTAACAATGTTTATTGTCGAAAAATAAATCAAAACGCGCTAGAATCGTTATATACAGGAACAAATGTCATCATTTTAATCTATGTACAAATAAGAAAATAAAGGTTCTGAACATATTCAGCATCCATAAAAATTATTGAAACTCTCAACTCTTCACAGGATCAAAACATTACTTATATTTTCAAACCATTGCACAATTCTCAAACGATAGATAAAACTATAATCTGAATTACAAGATTAATAATTCATATAATACTTATTAGATATGCATACTTTGATAAATAGGTACATGATGTATTATAGGTGGATGAAATCTACTTACTTCAAAAGGACTGTCTTGTTGCTTATGCCACCAAATTTCAAGTAACGCAGAGCAAAGTGTCGTTTAGGAGCAGCTACGAACTTTTAAAGTTTTCGAAATAGGAACTAGATCATTGACGTCAAAGACACATGTCGGAAGAAATTCGTTGCACTGATGGATAGGTGAGGTTTTCGTTAACTGCCCAAGGAAATAATCATAATAAGGTTTTTGAAAATCCATACTAGCAAGGAGGTTACCTTTTTTCTTATCAGCGAATTCATCATCTATGTTATCAGTCGGGTACAACTGGATCCATCATGACAGCTGTAAAATAAAGTATTTTTTTATTTAAATTAGCAGCAACCAACAACTAGAAAATGACGACTTTATTCAACGAAAACTTCGACTAGACTGGACTTGCACTCAAAGAACATACGCTTTTAACAACATGAGTGACGCACACAAAACCCTAATGACACAAATTGACGGCAAATGAACTAATAACAACTAGAATAGAGATGGCACGATGACAAACAAAATTACTGACGCAAACATCGAAAGACATTCTCATTAACAATAACGAACCACAAACACGATGCACGACAGACAAAACTAGTTGAATAACACAGCCCCCAGTACTCTTTTTTGTTATGGCTGTACTAAGTTCTGCAAAATTGGGCCCAGTGTCTTTTGAAAGAAGGGCGGCACAGTTGTTGAAGTCTTCCATGGCACTTTTGACCATGCTTTGATTTCCGCTGTATTGAATTCACAGCTGCTGCATTACCTCGCCAGCAATGGCTTGCGAATCGAAATCAATCTGTGTTCGTAGGGTCTTGGAGGTTTTAGATGGGTTGAGTGTGACGTCATCAAAAATATACTTTTAGAATTTATAAATTCTGCCTCCATAGCCCAAAAAACACCACATAATACCTCTAGATATGCAAAGTCATTTGTTCCTGTTCAAAATTGACTGAGATATGGCCAGTGAAAGAGATTTTTAATGGAATACTGCTGTTTTGGCCTGGTTCAGAGATGTTAGTGCCAGGGCCAAGTTACAGTTATTTGATGGGGAAGGAGCCTGTACCTATGTGGCGATATCTCAATGGATTTGCAACAGATTGAACTGATTTTGCATCTATAAAGATTTTTTGTGGTACTTATTCAAAATATGGGGTCAGAATTCTAAAATTCTAAAATTGTTCCATTTTTTCTAGAGGTAAATCATCTTCCAATGTCTACCTGTTACTTAAGTAGCGAAGTCTTGTCAATAAAGATATTTAAAGAAGTAAAATTTTGCCAGCATTTATTGAGTTATCAGTTATAAAGAAGGCTGTTGAGGTCACACATGAATGCAAATGTCAAAAAGGATTAAGGGTTAAATTAAAGATTTGATCCTGGCAGAAATTAGCCGTCATATTTTAAAATTACCCAGAAAGAAGATGAGAAGGTGTAGACCCCTTTCGAAAAGTAGAAGTGGGCTGAGCCCCCATTAACCCCCCTTCTACAGACAAGGAGATCACCATAGAATTCTTTGTTTGTTATGAGCTGATTTGATTTTGAGCGTGTGTCAAGGTAGATGAGATTTATTTTAAAGCCATCATCAAAATTAAAATCAATTTTAACTAGTGCCAATTGAATGCTTGTGCTGAAAAATAAAAATCAATTTTTGAAAGCCAAAGGCTGGATTTGTCTGAACTCCAAACCTAACGGAAGTTATTTTGCACACAAAATGAATTTCTAGGTATTTAGTAATTTAGTTGCTTGGGTCTTTCGATAGTAGAGTGTAAGCTTTCAAGATTGGCAGAAGGAAAAAATTTCGAGAAGGATCCGGTTCACATACTTCCTTTTGCGGGAAAGATAGATTGCTTCCTATAAAAATGTTTTAGTTCCTATTTAGAGATAAGAATGAATTGATTAGAAGGCCAGGGGTAGGATTGCAGAAGGTCAATACCATTTCAATGCCCCTAGACATCCGTGATGCTTTGTTGTAGAATGAATGTGTGCGAAGAGATCCAACACCTAAACAACACAGTCTCGGGGGATATCTGAAGTAAATGGGGAGTCATTTTTTTGGAACACAGTAGAAAATGATGTAAATGATGTGATGGCTTTAGATGTCATTGAAAAAAGTAAAAATTATTGTCCAAAAATATTGTGTAGGAAGGCAGTTTTTGCACCTAAAATTCTGACACTTTTTTATCTATAAATTAGCCCTATAATATCCAGGAGTTATCCCAATGATTGATTAAAATATACTAATCAATCTTTACACGAATTTGTTAAGCCAATATCGCAAGTTGATTCTCTTTGGGCTAGGTGAAAGTAGTGATGTGTCCCGTACACGATCTGGAGGTAGAGGGAATCGACTGGTAGGGAGGGCATATGCCCTGGGCAAAAGTGGAAAGATGAGTGAATCTTCTAACGATTGCGACGTCGCGGCGAAGGGGGTTGAGACAGGCCTCCATGTTATCGGTATGATCGATTTTGTAACTCGTCTAAGTTCGATAAAAAAATGTCGGGGGAGGGGTAACATATTGTTCTATGACACTGAAATTGCCTTTACGTAGTCAAAAGTAAGTCATGAGCATTTACTTACCATTGGTAAATTTGGCGTGTCAAGATACATTTTCTTACTGTAAAAAAATGTGGCCCAAGTTTTTCTTTCGCTGCATTATTGTTTATGGGTTTTGCTTTGATAATTTAGAGTATTTCAGAGGAAGCTACTACAATGTTTCAATATTTAAAGATTTGAGTCAAAATGCGTGAACACGCAATTTTGCTAGCCCATTTATCCACTGTTTCTATCAAATTTGCTTTGTCTTGAAAATGGTCCATCGGTGCTAATGGTTCTTTTTGTAATCAACCCTTATAGCATCACCTTTTGACGGCCTTTGTTATGCACTGTTGTTTTTGCGTCCTTTTGAAGAGAAAATTTAAAACGATACGTGACAATCCTTAGTAAGAGTCTGGAGAACACGAATACCGTAAATCCTCGAATTAGCCCTCTGGGGGCTTATTTATTTTTGATATTTTTGGACGGGGGCTTGTTCGAGGGGGGGGCTTATATGAGGGGGGCTTATAAAATAATTGTAGACAATAAGAAGACATTATTAAAGACCTTGTTTATTTTAGTAGGAATTTCTTTATGAGCATTTCATTAATTACTACCAAAAGTACGAATAAAACGCCATAGGCAACCTCAGATGTCAAAAATCTTCAAATGTAGGGGTCCAATTCGAGAATATACGGTAACAGTGGGGGCTTATTCGAGGGGGGGGGCTTATGGAAATTTGTAGTTCTAGGTGGGGGGCTTATTCGAGGGGGGGGCTTTTTCGAGGGGGGGGGGAAGGCAATTCGAGGATTTACGGTAAGTGTGAGATTAATCTTTATTACATGCAGCTTTCGAGGGTCTTAATCAAAGGACATCTTTAACGCTGTAGCTCAGGTAACCTTGCGTATAAACAAGGTAGCTTCTATGTCAGCAAAAAGCTTTTTCCAGCTCTAGCCCCCTCCCCCCTCCACGATTATTATCAGCCTCCCGTCGTTTATTTGAGGGCATGTGCTAGATTTCTAAATACATTGGGTATCAATCTCTGATTTTATATAGAGTGAGTCTGATAGCCAGGGTCAGGGACGTATTAACCGGGGGTGTAGGAGGTACATGTTTGTGTCCTTCGGTAAATTCCGACTGTAGCGCCAGAGTTCAATCATTACCTAACAATCCCCCTTCCTCTCCCTTCTTTGCCGCTTAAGTCCGTCCTGGCCCAGGGGAGATTCTAACGTGCAAACAGGTATGGTTTTTTCTACCGATTGCTAAAAAGCCTGATTTGGTGACTTCTATTATATACCGCAGCATCAAGCAGCAAGGAAATTGCCAAGATTTGCTTTATGAAGCACTAAAAGACAAGAAAAAAAGCAACCAGAGCTATCGAAAATAAGCAACAATTGCTATAAATTCGTCACAATGTCCTGAAATTATATTGATAAAAAATTGAAAATTCGTCTCCCATTATAGGCTCAGCTTGCAAGGAACTGTTTGTATCAAAAGATGGCTCTGATAACATTCAATGTGGAGGTGTTACCTCTCCGTGCCTAAGTATCAAATTCACTGTCTTCAACAGAAGCATGGAAAATGACGTCATCAAAATTACCGGGAATGACAGCGGACAAACGGCTATATATGATGTCTCAGGTATTGTTATTGAAAAGGGATTGAGCTTTCAAGGCATCAATGGAAGGCCCATATTAACATGCCTTTATTGTCAATATATGTTTGGATTAAGTGAGCAACGCACTAAGGAATCAATAGTTGCCTCATTTTCAAACTTGCAATTTTATTCAAACGAGTCAGCCAAGGTATATCCTGTTGAAATCAAAGGCTTGCAGGCCACAAACATAGCAGTGCTGCAAATAGTCAACTGCAGTTTCACAGGCGTAACGTATCCGATCCTGTACATGTGTGACAAAAGTATTGGATGTCATCTTTTAGTTGAGAACTGTACATTTATTGCTTCCAGAAGGTGTATCCGGGCAGATGGAAATGGTATGCTACGAATTACCATTAACGATAATGTATTTCTTGGTAGCTCAGGCTACTCAATATCAGCTCTTGTATTGAGCACCTATTTGCCAGTTTACGAAATGAAGAAACTTCAGCTGTACGTAAAGAGAAGTTCGTTTAGTTATTTTCAAGCAGCCTTCAACTTGAGTACCTCGCTAATTCGCTATGGCGATATCCAAATAAAAAACTGTTCCTTCAAGAATAATATGCTGCTTCTAAAAAGACTACATGTTGCCTATCTAGGTGGTGCTGCCATTACCTTGTACAATTACGTGAAACCTTTGCCAAGATCACTTATTCAATTGCTGGTTAGTGATTCTGAATTTTCTAACAACACGGGACATTGTTCAGGTGCAATCTGTATCAAATCTTTCAAAAACAAAGTGAAAGTTTTTTTAACGAGAACAAACTTTAAAGATAATCTTTCTATGTCTAAAGGGGGCGCCTTAAGCACCGATGGAGGAGCCGATGTCCGTATAAGGAGCTGCACATTTCTCAATAATGTTTGTACTACATTAAGGGTCGGGTACCTTGGGACTTGGATAAATGGCGTAGGTGGAGCACTCGCATTTGTACCAATCTACGCCCAACAAGAGATAGCATCTGACATTTCAATTAGGAATTCTGTTTTTGTAAATAACTCGGCAGTGCACAGTGGAGGATCGATCTTTTCTGGAATGATGCTCATAAGGTTGCAAAACGTGCTTCTGGTAGGCCCTGAAAATAGCAGAATTAAGCCGATTGAAGGCGATATTATCACAAGTCGATACGCGGCAAGGTTTTCAAATGTGACGGTAGTGGTTCGAAATCTGGACAACACAGTAATGCCAGTTAAGCTAGGTGAGTATTTTGGAATATATCGAACTTATAAATATTACGCATTATCAGTTGACAGAAAGTCGAAATTCCTTTGTGCTGAAGGCTCAGTGATCCTGATCAATCAATTTAAAATGATAACATATCCAAGAAGCTATAGCATGTTCAACATGTACTGCAGAGCTTGTGCAGAGAACAGCTACAACCTCGGTGGAAGTGCATTCCGCAACCTTTCGATACACAAAGCCAAATGCCTTGCTTGCCCTTACGGGGCTAATTGCTTTGCTGGCGTTGTCAGGTCAAAAAGCGGATTTTGGGGATTTGAAATCCCAGGGACAAGAGAGGTAAAGCTCATTCGACTCCCTCGTGGGTACGGCTGTGCAAATAGCCAATGCATGCGATTCAACTCGTGTGCTGTTAACAGGGAAGGTACACTCTGTGGCAAGTGCAGAGCTGGGTACAGTGAGAGCACATTTTCTGCAAATTGTGTTCCAAATGCTCAATGTGGACAATGGTTTTTGTGGAGCATTTCTTTGCTTCTTGTGATTGGATATGTACTGTTTTTCTTTTACAAAAAGACCCTAATCAAATCCATGAAAGGCTTGCTATATCATTTACTTACTTTCCGCAAAAGGACTGACAGAGAAATTCCTTTGCTCAGCGACCATAGTGAAGAAACACCATGGGCAAATTTCTGGTCAAGCAGAACCGACAGGGAGGAGAACTCAGTAGAGCCATTCACCGATGAAAACGTACTTCTGCATAATATCGACGAAGCGAGAGCCCAGGGTGGCGTCGATTTAACAATCGAAGAAACTGGGCAAGATGATTTTTTCTTTGATAGTTTAGTGAAGATAGTTTTCTATTTCTATCAAGCAGCGGCCGTTATTAAGTCTTCAGATACCCATGAAATGGAGGGCAGATTTCACCTTCTTGCTGCAACTGTAGAAAGAGTTTTCAATTTCGAACTTGTGCCTTCTGGGGGACGCTACTCGTGTGTTCTTGAAAACCTTACACCATTGTCAAAGATCTGGTTGAGCGTCTCGTTAAATGCTTCGATTTTTCTCGTGTTAGGCCTAGTTTGGTTGCTTAAACGTGTCAGAAAAAGGGGTAACAACGGGAACGCTAACACAAGGAGATGCAAATCAAGCCCTCTCGTTATTGTTTTTCTCGAAATATTTCTGTTCAACTACGCATTTCAAACCAAGACCATACTCAAGCTGCTGAACTGCGTGAACGTAGCAAATAAGACAGTTTTGTACATCCAAGGTACTGTTGCTTGCTACACGAAATGGCAATACGCAGTGATTGTGATCGGATGCATTTGGGTAATTCCTTTCTGTTTGTTTCTCCTTGTTGCAGCTAAGCTTATCCGTTCCGGGCATCTGAAAGCCAATTACGTCATCGTCTGCTGTATTTTCCCGTTGCCGTCGCTTGTCTTCTTCTTCATTTTAACGAGGAAGCAATCTGCATACACAAGATGCCCAACGGCACCTTCTCAGCTCTACCTAATCAGGCTGTTAGCAGGTCCCTACAAGAACCCTTATGGCTATTGGGAAGGGGTTTATACCCTTCGTCGTCTTATTCTGATTTCACTTTGCACATTCATCGCAGAACCCCTGTCAAAGATTTACTCTTTGATAATCGTGCAGCTCATTTTCTTGATACATCATTTGCAGATCAAGCCGTTTAAACAGTGCAAGGCGAACCTGTGCGAAACAATCTCTTTGGGTTCATTAACCTTCATATCCTGCATGAAGCTGTTCTTCATGTATAGCTACATCACAGCAACAAAGGTGCCTCATGACAGACAGCTTTTTCTTCGATTGTCATCTGGCATCGAAGCAACAATGCTTTTGTTCGTGCCTGGTATATTGGTTTCGTTGCTTGCAGTCGTATTCATCAGCAAAATTTGTCATTTGGTGCTTACACTTTCAAAAAAGCTGGCATTCTTTAAGAAACAGCAGTAACTCAAAAGATAAGTACTTTTGAACTTAACGCCTGTGGAAATATAAACATGGTCAAAGAAGGAAAATGGTCAAAGAAGAAAACTGTAAAAGTCTGATTTTTGACGCAGGGCATGAAAACAATCTTTCTTTCTTGCGACCAGACAAAAATCATGCATAAATTTTCTGCGAGAATTGGAGCTAAATTTGTTCTGTCTTCATATTTTTTCTTTGATGAACATGTAAGAAACAAAGGTGCTCCTTGTAAAAGAGTTATTTTTAAAAAATTCCTGTAGAATATTTCACGAACAATTTTCTATGACCGCCCGGTCAGGTGGGTTTTCATGCCCTGTTTGACAGTAAATAATAAGCAATAGTTCGAATGTCATGTCTTCATGCCTTATAACTTGTCCCAAATCAAGATGCCCCGCCCGGCTTAGATCTTATATACACTGCTACAACGACTAGGGATTTTAAAAAAACTGTTTAAAGCCATATGCCTCTTTTAAGAATGCGTAACTGTACAAAGCACTTTCTGATATACATTCATTGTTCCCTGCTTGTACTTAAGCACCTACCAATCTACTGTCCTTTTTAAAGTGAATTTCATCTCGTATCTTTTGATATTTGTGTACTATTGCATTTGGTCGATCTTTGGAGATTCTCAGCAGAAGACTACGTAAAATTGTTTATGATAGTATCGGATGTTTAGAATATTTACCTAGTAGAATAAAATGATTTGTTGTGTTATAACCATTTCACTTCATGTATTGTCATGCAAACAATAGTTAGTTAAGGTATTTTTTGGTATATTCTTTGTAGAAATGAATTCTATGTGGCTTTTTTTTCTCTTAAAATATTGCAGCACCGTGTATTGTTTGTTGCTTATTATTATTCTCACGTCTTAACTAGGCAAGCTGCATCTTTTTTATTCAAATATCGATCACAGGACGTCAGCTGAAAAGTAAATGTGGCATAAGAAACCGCTTGAATAGGTTTTAAAATGTTTAGAATCCATCCACAGTATGCATAATGGTCAGAGTCAAGTTGGGCCTACATTTTTTTTATTCATAGAAATTAATAACAATACAATTTTACATTGACTATACTATCCTAATTACTGTACTACACTACGGGGACGATACCACGAGGAGCGAAAGACAATGACTACGCCATGGCCGATACATAAAAACACACAACATTAAACAAGGATAGAAAGAAAGATAACTAAAACTAGGTAGACTAATTACGAATACAGAGTAAACAGACAAAAAGTAGATGCTAATGTATAGGAGTGTGCAGCAATGGAATATTTAAAAGCGTTCTGAAGCATGAATGAATTTGAGCGTTGTCTGAAATAGCTTCTTATTTGAGTCAATGGTAAGTCGCTCGTCACCATATAAAATTAATTTGACTAAAGCTTCATTTGAAAGAGATGAAAACCATGAGGGAGCAATATTGCATTCACACTACTGAGAAGATCAGATCTAGGCCGGTTATACGAATGACAGAGCAGCAATAGGCCTAAATTCATGGAGGCCATAATCAAAGCTAGCGGAACGAAAGCCATTCAAAAGGTTCCCTTCAACGCTAGTCTCTTAGAGAAAAACTACATATAAGAAGAATGCTTTCATCGGGGAAAGAAATTCACAGTCCACTGAAATAGACATTTCCTTTAGTCGGACGTGTCAATATGAGACCTGGGGCGAATAGCAAAGCTTCAACAAGAGAAGGAGAGAGGGGCTTAGAAGAAAAGGGGGTGAAATCGAGTTATTTGGTGTTGGTTTCTGAAGAATGAAATTTTTAAGAATCTTAAACCTAAAGCGTTTCAAAGTTTACAACTCTGGGAAAGATAAATGACTGTTGGACAGAGATTGTCAATGTGGCAAAGAAAATTTGAAAAGGTTAGCCACAAAAAGAATCTTACACATCTCGGGGAACTAGGATGATTTTATGATCTCCTTGAAGCAATGTCCATCGAAATATCTGTAAAATTTGTAAACAGGCCCTGTCAGAAGTACTTTCAATATAAAGATAACATAAGTCAAACTTGCGACACATTGCAGTAAGAATTTATTAAATTTAAGCGGCATGTTTTTTGAAATTGTTGTATTTGGAAACGAAGACGTAGAAAAGCAGCTCATTAATACAAAAAACGAGACTACTTTTCAAATACAAGATGCTTGCCGTCTAAAGAAATTGGCTAAACGCTTTGATTGCGAGTACCTCCCAGATTGATCACTCTGACAATTTCCCACCCGAAGAATTAATTAGGTCTATAAACAAAGAATCAAAACTTGATCCAGAGAAATCAATAAAATATTTCTCTTCAAACACAGTGACAACTTCTAAGAGAATAAGAAAATGCTATTTATATTAAGGATTATACTGTGTGGAATCAATCATACAGATGTACGAATTATATTTGTGTATCATAAATAATTAATATCGCAAATTGTGAAGTCAAAATGATATTTCCTACTGCAAACTGATAAAGACTTTTTGACTCTCTTGATAAAACTGTAGTTGCAATAAAAGTGGTAATCGCAATGAATGCAGCTACCAAACCTGTACAATAAGAGTTTTCATATAATCAAAATTTATTAGATATAAAAGATATGGAAGATTCTGAATTGTTAGGGTCAAAACAATATTTATTCCTTCATGTGCATAGTTGATTTTTAAGTAAAGTTTAATAATTCGACGTACGAAAAGCTAAATTACGTTATTGAAACAACTGCTAGCAAGCAAAACAAATGATGGAATGGAGAAAACTGTAAACTGTAGGCCCAACAAATATGAAAACACTTTTATGTAACCTATAGGCTTGATTATTTTCTGAAAGCCTCTGGTTTATAAGAAACTTTGTAGACTAAGGGGTAATATAAGTTTGTAATACATGGGTTCAGTATTCTTAGCAAAGCACTTATAAATAAACATATTTTTAGAAGAAGGAATGAAATTGATAGATAGAATACTAAAGAGCTTGAAGTACATAACAGCACTCATTTCCAACATTCACAATCCCTTACATTCATCTAGAGGTGCAAGTTTCAGAATCAGGCTTCGCCTGAACCACAACTTCAATTGTTCATATAGGACCTCGCCCCAAATTTGGCTTACAAATGAGAAGAAGAGTGTTACTTAAGGGATTGGCACACCCCGATTCACACATTTCATCACAAAATTTAATTCCCTTGATAGCACCCTACAAGCCCCTTGAAAGCACCGTTCCCAGGGCAGCCCGCCCTCAATAACCTTATCAGAGGATGCAATGACAAATGGAAAAGCAAGAAAACCAAAATCAAGAGGTTTCACTTTGAGTGCCATTCGCCTATTTCAGCCTAGTGTCATTCATCCCAAGCAAACAGCAACTGACATTTTGTCCGTGCAACTAAAGAATGGACAGTGCACGGAGCATTGAAAAGGCCGGTAAACATTGCAGTAATGGTGGACATGCAGGGCCTAGCTGTGAATGGCGTGAAGCGCATACGCGTCAAACTGAACACATACGTGCGTTTCTAAACAAACTGCAATACGGATCCGCTCCATGATACAACCCATGCAAAAACGCATGCCCATGCAGAAACGCATATGACACCGGCTTTGAGACATAACCAGACCATCTGCTTCAAAACAAACATCTTTACGATAGATAGCAGCGAGTGCTTTTGCAAGCTGAAATTCACCACCAGCTGCCATTACTGCGTAATTCAATCGCATGATTTTCGACATAACAGTTGTTTAACCTGGATATGTCTAAATAGATCAGACATGGGGCAGTGACACGTTATCTATTCCAAGAATATACCTATACATGTTACCTAATCCACGAGTTTCTGGTATCATTACAGATATGCACGGGAATTGTTCGATGAATTAGAGCACAAGTCAATCATGACGTGACGTGAAATACCGGCAAGTGATAATTAAATGCAAGTGACCTCAAGACCAAGTCATTTAAAAAGACAAATGGTATTAAAGACAAGTAATATTAAAGGCAAGTGATATCACAAACAAGTGGAAATTTGTACTAGTGACTTTAAAGCAAGGTGATAAAAAAAGGCAAGTGATATTAAAGGGATGGTAGATTGCAACGTGCAAGCTAATTTGAATAGTAATGGAGATTTGCAGCAGGCTACTGCCATTTCCTTCCAAGTAGTTGCTGTTTTGACGATGTTGCTGAACCTGCTACTACTCCTCGCGCTTGTCAAAACAAAACAAACACGTACAAATACATCAAGCTACCTTATCATACTTCTTAGCATTACAGATTCCCTGAACGGAGCTATGACAATCCTTTCACTTACACTCTATCAATTTTTAGAGAATATTTCGTCGAAGTGTGGCCTGAGAAAATTCTCAAATGTCTGCAGTGGCTCCCTATCATATATTTCTGTCAGTATTATTGTTATTATGGCTGCAGACCGGTACGTCAACATGAACCCGAACATTGAACGGCCGTCGCGTTTTGCCAAGATGTTCAAGCCACCAAAATTATACATTTTATTAGCAGTTGTAACTGTATTTTCCTTGCTCTACGCAGCATCCTTTGCGTTGATGAGCCATCGTCAAACATTTTTGGCAATATATATGTTAACTTGTGCTATATTTATCTCGATTGTCATTTTCTCGGTAACCTTTTTTTACCTGCGCGGTTATCTTCGCATCAAGAAATTTGCTGAAAACAACCCGGTCTATGCTAACCAGGACGGCACTGTGGCTAGGCCCGAGTACGTGAAACGCTTGCACAAGACAGTCATGCTTCTCCTTGGTTCTTTGTATATTTCTTGTGTGCCGATGCTGCTCTACGCATGTTTATTAAGCGTTTACACGTTAGGTAGCTTTACTCCTGGCCTATCGCAGATTCAGAACTTTTTTATCATTGCGATCCCAGTTTTGTCATCGACCCGTGTTTTTGGCCCGATCATCATCTTTTTTTGCAACAGCAAGGCATGGTTTTGGGTATCCAAGCATTTTAAAGCCGCAACTTGCCACGTCTTCAAAGATGGTGACGTAACAGTTTCAGAGCAATAAGAGGGTACCGACGGACACTTTTTGGAATATGATGCAAGTGGAGGAATCTAAAAAGTTGGATTTCAAAGACCATAGCCTGATTTAATGAGAATGTGAGAGACGCAAAAAGCTAGTTACCAAACTTAAACTGGAACTAGCATGTGACATCAGAGCAAAGTCTTGTCAGAATATATTCCAGTAAGAAGGGATACCTGGTTTCAACATTTAAAAAATGCTAATTTATTATAAAAATATGCCAAATAGGCTGAAATATGCAAGATTCAGAAATCGATGTATAGCTGCAGGGAAAGTTGTTTGAAGATTATTACAATTTGAGACATAGTACCAGAAAAATGCTGTTTTATTATCTTTAACATGAAACATTTACCATTTGAAGTATTTCATTGATTAATCAAAAAGAAAAGGAAAACTGTCAACTATAAAATTTGTCAATAGCAGCCATGGCATCATTATCTTTATTCGTCTTTATTTAACGCATGTTATTGTGGAATCTTTATTTGATGTTGAAGCCTACATCACCCCTGAGTTTAACATTGATAACATTCTATCTGCTGTACCAAAATGTTTGTAGTAACCTTTGTTTATATCCTGTGTTTTTGTGAAAATTTACTGTGGGATTTTTATGCCCCGAGAATATTTATAAGAAAAGAAAGCGTGCAATTGCATGGCTTTGTGAAACTCGGAATAGCGTGCAAACTCGGAATATGCCAAAAATATGCCAGACATAAGTATTTAGAAAATATGCTAGGTATAAAGTTTTATGCAAAGCACTTTCAAAATATGCCAGATTTGGTATCATGTGCCTACATGACAACCCTGGTATTTTTCCGAGACATTTGATGAATAGAAATTTATAGCAATAATTTGAGCCGAGGGTAAAGCTACTGCCGATCTGGGGCCTTCCCTCAAGAAAGTTCTTAAAAAAAATTGATGTTGCTATGAAAAAAGAAGGTGGATTTAATAAACCCCCAGTGATACTGGTAGAGATTACAAGGAATATATTTTAACTTAATTTCTTGAATTGTGTTTTAAGTTCGCGGTTCGCAGTTTAAACAGAATTAGAAATTACCCAAATGGTTTTGTCAGATCAGAAGGAACCTCTTCTGTGCAGTTAACAGCATAAACATATACGATGCATAAAACCTCTTTATAAAAAACATTTTGCGAGGAGTTTTGCTTATATCACCCTGCTTACCACAAGAGCCATAGAACAGCAGTAATCAGTTGTTTGGTATGATCATGAGATCAAAAGTTTGGTATAAAAATCGTGGCAGTGATTAAACAGACCCCAAAATTTAATAAAATTTGTTTGTGATCCTCTTTAGACTTCGCCGAACATCATTAAACAAGCGTTATGCGAGCAAATAAGGTGGCCAAACAGGCCCTAAATTCCACCAAACATTTGTTTTAACAATATTAGGTAAAAATTTTTGTCAATTTCACCTGGGATTAAGATCTGGAAAGGTTAAGGATCCCGGTTGCTAATCGACTGTAAATGCAGCTGCACAAATGAAGTTTATGTCTAAAAGTAACAAATTGATTATATTAACTATCCCCCCCCCCCCCCCACTGCTGCAGCACTGGGTACGCCACTGTTTGCACCAACAATTGTTTTACGGAAAAAAGGGTTAAAAGTGATAATGTACTGAAGCAAGCCATAAAAATACATCCTGTGACAGGACCTGAAAAAAAGAAGGTTGGTTCTTTGGATTCTAATTAGCATTTGAAAAGCCAGTCCTGAACATTTACGACAAATATTATTTGTTTCGTTAGGAAGGGACGTTCTTAGGTATTTTGCAAGGAAGGTTGTGTGGTTAAAATCGCGTCTATTATCCAAAATTCTGTGGTTCGAGTCACTGCCAAACCTTCACTTAGGTAAAAGGAAGTCACCAGTTCTTTGTAATTCCAGGTGTAGGAATCACGAAGGGTGGTCACATCGAGAGAAGGGACCAGGACTCTGCTCCATAAGCACAGTCTCTTCTCACTGTCCTAAAAATTACCCTTGAAAAGTTCTTGAATGTTCTTGAACCCTTGAATGGCGAATCAGTTTTTGTTAATTGGTTAGTTTAATATCTGAATTGGAATCCATTATCAAGACGTTAGAAAGACAAATACCTTAAGACAAAGATAAATACGTTAGAAAGACGTAATAATTATATTCAAATGTAGAATTTTGCAAGATATACTTATGTACCTTCTTCTCCATCATCAAAAATTTAGAATTGATTTCGAAGAAAAACAGTGAAATGATGGTTGTTATGAATTCTATCTTAAACACGACAGCACTATTTTCATCACAATCGTTTTACCTATCGTAAAATATCTATTATTTAGAACATTTTTTGAAAAATTGCGATGCTATTTCTTTGAATGTCGATTTCGGCATTTGTTCAAACAAGTCTAATCGGTACCGCTAAGACAATAATGCTTTATTTTGATCTGCAGGAAACTGATAATGTGGTATTACAAGGATCTTCTCTCGATCTATTTCTTGTTTTATGCACGTGCAACTATTCTAAAAGATTTTACAGATGCAAACAACAGCAATCTGTCTCTTTCAACAAACACATCTTTTATAAGAATACTATAAATTTTGTCCAGCCTTGATGCTCCGAAAAAAGTTTCGTTTTGAGCCTAAATGTATTCTTAAAGATTTTTTAACTTTGATTGGTTTCAGGAGAACATTGCTTGCTTTCGAAAAGAAACGAGATACAATTCTCTGATCTGAACATTTGAACGATTCTCTGCTCTTAGGAATCCATATCTAATAGGCAATTTACTAATTGTTATTATATTATACCAGCCACGGACCTTTAAGTGGGGCTGTGCCACTCCAAATGAAAAGTTTGACCACAACTTGCCCCCTTTGTCTAGAGTTACTCCAAAAGGTATTTTGGCACAATTCTAATTCTCTGAGATAACTGCTTAGAGTGGGGATCAATCGCTTTTGAAAAGCAAGAGACAATCATGAGCCTCTCGAACTTGTACACTCAACTACTCCCAAACGCAGGAGCAAAACTTTACTATTTTCATTAGGGGGTATGAAGCTTAGATGCCTGACGAAAGGGCGTGTCATGCTCGATGATAGGGCGTGTCCTGCATGAACTTCATTTTTAGGGCACATCGCCTCAAGGGCTGAAATCATCGGGGACCCCGAGAGAGGGTCTTTAGACTCAGACTGTTTGTTTAAAGTCAAGAGATGTGCCTCTGAATTCACCATGACAAAATCCCTCAAGCAAAGAAAAGTTTTTAATTGGAAGTATTTTAAAGGTACATCTATCATCAAAGTTTTTTGCAGTTTATATTTTAATCGCAATTCCTGGATAAATTTTCTATTATTTTCCGCTTGAACTGATTAAAACTTTCTGTTACTTGTTACGGTTATTCGAATTTTTCCAGTTAAAAAACTATGGCGGCTGTACAGCCATTTTCTAGCGAAGGGTGCAATACTTTTGAAGCGTAAGTGTAAAACCTTAAGAAAATTTTGGGGCATAACTCCTTATGAATGTATGATGAGAGTTTCGTACATTTGGAAAAGAAAGTATTGATTAATTTTTCTCAACAATGTATTCCGAGATGGTATATCCTTCATGCTTTGATTTATAATGCTTCTAAAATTGTCAGTGTTCCATGGGCTCCGAGGCAGAATGGAATCACAGCGAAAGATTTTGAAAAAAGCTCTCTTGTTTGAAAAAAGCTCTCTTTTTTGAAAAAAGTAGGGGGGGGGGAATGCTTTGTGTTCATTTCCTTCTTGCATCAAACACACCTTACTTTCCATCTATACTTTCGCTGTCGATCAATACTTCAGACTTCATCTCGAGGCGAAGATAAACACGTGCGCGTCGAGCTCGAGACGAAAGCGCTGATCGGTGGACGAAAGAGAGAAATGTATATATGTTGCTGTTGCTTGCCTCGTTTCTGTTTTGTTTTCCCAACTGGGCGGAGATTGAAAAAAATGGGGGGGGAAAGAACATGAATTAAAAAACCAAGCTAGGGCAAAAGTAGCAATAAAAGTGCGACCTAAAGAAAAGTTCCAGGTTGGCCCAACAGATACACTGGCAGCCATAAATTTTCCCGACAAAATCTGCTTTTTGAAGATTAAGGGGTGAGCAGCACCTCCCATACCTCCCAGCAGTTTCGCCCCTGCCAACTAATGGCGTGGTGGCTTTAGCGACCAAGAATCAGGGGTGTCGATCAAAGGGGCGCCAAAATCCCGTGGAAGACAAATGTGAACATATTTTGCAATACCTTTACCATCTTCATCTCGCGGCCTTTTCAAATGGAAAACAGATAGAATGATGGTACATGGTACATAATGATAAAATAAACTTATGAGCAAATTAGAACAGCAATCATAATATTAGAAACCTGTAAAAATCGTTAAAAAGAACAAAAATGATAAAGAAATGATAAAAAAAAAGATGAAGTAGGGATGGATGCTGAGTTTTGTTTCTGTTTCTAATCACGTGATGACCTTTGTTTTGATTGTCTAGAGGAGCCCAAATTGAAATCTCCAGACAACATCATTTTAT